TGATATAATGAAAAACTTGTGTCCAGCTCAAAAATCCCCACCAATATTGGAAGACAAACAAAAACAAGACAAGAATCTATATCTATTGTTCTTGTTAAAAGGAAAAAAAAAAGTATCATGGCCACCAGCTTTTGAGAAAGGAAATGAAAAATTAAAAAAAGGAAAAAAGTACAATAATAAATCGAGGAACACTCAGATTAGCAAATATTAAAAATAATAGACTGCATTTGCATGGGAAAATGGGCATTCTCACATACTGAGCATGGCAACATAAACTGGTATTACTTTTATGCAGAACAATTTGACAACATGTATCAGGTTTAAAATTAAGCAAGTCTTTTTTGGCTCATCAATTCTACTTCTAAAAATGGTAAGAAAATAAATGCATAAAGATGAACATATAGGGCTGGCCGAGTGGTGTGTTGGTTAAGAGATGGCTTGGGAAGCCAGCTCTGAGCAGCAGGGCCCCGGTTCGAATCCCACATGAGGGCCAGTGATGCTGTGCCCTCTACAGCTAAGATGGTGAACAACAGCTCGACCTGGAGCTGGGCTGCAGCGAGTCACCGGCAACCACGTGGGCTGCAGTGGAGCTGGCCAGCAGCTGGCATGAGCTTTTGTGAGCCGCTGTACGCTGCGTCCAATGGCGTGCGAGCGACTGCCTCACCTAGGAAGAACGCAATAATACCAACATGGGCCAGTGAAGCAACATTCTCCACAACTAGACTGAAGAACAAAAGGACAGCAACTTGTCTGTTCCCCTTCCCGAATTCCCCAACGCTGTTCCCCTCCCCTAATTCCTCAATAAAATCTTAAAAAAAAAAAAAGATGAACATTTAAGGCCAATCACTGGAGTTTTAGTAATAATAAAGATATTAAAAAGCCGGCCAAGTGGCTCAGTTGGTTAAGAGCTCGCTCAAGAGTTTGAGCTCAGAGCAACAGCGGTTCGATGCCTGGCCCGAGCTGAGTTGCCGCTGAGCTGCCAACAGGTGGCAGGATGGTTCAGCTAAAAAAAAAAAGAAAACCAAAAAACAAAACAAAAAAAAGATATAAAGAACTTAAATGTCGAATAGAAAGGGATGAGTTAATTATTATAAATTTATACAACTCAGTCAAAAGCTGTGATGTAAGATGATCCTTATGTGTTGTTATGGAAAACTGCTTGCAATATATCATACGACTCACCCAAGAAAACATATCTCCATAACACTTACTTTCAGCTTCATGAGCCTTCAGCAGAGACACAGGCATAGTTCCTTGTCTAACATCCCAAATACTCAACATTCCATCCTGGCCACCAGTAGCTACA